AAAAAGTGTTAAAGATGGTAAATAAAAAGAGCATAATGTATAAATTATATTGTAAACATCCATCAAACAATAACAAGATGAGATATAAAAAAAATGTCGAAATAGTGTAAATAAATGTCTAAAAGAAGTTAAAAGATTACATTATTTCAATGAATTTAAAAAACATAAAGGTAATATGAAAAAAACTTGAGATATTCTATAAGTAAATCTTTAAATAAAACACCTGCTAGCTTCAATGTAGATGGTTGTGACATATATGATAGTAAAGATATTTCTGATATATTTAATAACTTTTTTATCAACATTGGTCCATCTATGTCAAGTACTATTCCAGTTGATAGTGACATATCTTATCAATCTTTTTTACCACCTCCCTGCGAAAAGTCATTATATTTTAAACCTGTTACTGAAAACGAATTAATCAATATTGTCAGCGGACTAAAGAAGAGTAAAAGCACAAGTATTGATAACATAAGTTCCATTGTTGTAAAGAAAGTTATATTTTACATAACCAAACCGTTACTTTATATCTTCAATCTTTCACTATCAACTGGAATAGTTCCGACAAATCTAAAAATTGCAAAGGTAATTCCAGTGTACAAAAAGGGGGATTACCGCAATATATTGAATTACAGACCAATTTCTATATTACCTTTTTTCTCAAAGGTATTAGAAAAAATTGTATTTACACGTGTTCATAGTTTCCTTAGTGATAATGTAATATTGAATTCATGCCAATATGGTTTTAGGAAAAATAGATCGACTGAAATGGCATTGATTGATTTGCATAATTATTTGATTTCATGTATTGCAAAAAACTGTCACACTATCGGAATATTTTTAGATTTAAGCAAAGCTTTCGACACAATTGATCATAATATAATGCTTTATAAGTTAAGAAATTATGGATTTCGCGGGCTTGTTTTAACTTGGTTTGAGAATTATTTAACAAACAGAAGTCAAGTGGTATGTTTCAACGATGTTACTTCAAATAATTTACAAATTGTGTGTGGTGTACCATAGGGTTCAATCCTGGGTCCGTTGCTTTTTTTGCTCTATATTAATGATCTTTCCAATTGCTCATCTGTTCTTAAACTTGTACTTTTTGCTGATGATACCAACATTTCGATTTGTCATAATGATATTACACAGTTACAAATTATGCTTAATACTGAACTAAAAAATGTATCTACATGGTTAAATTTAAATAAGCTATCTATTAATGTAGAAAAAACTGTATATATGTACTTCTATAATTTAAAAAGTAACAGAAACAATGCACATGATCTGGTAGTTAAAATCAACAAACTCAATATAAAACGAGACATTTCTACCAAATTTTTAGGTATTGTAATTGATGAAGACTTATCTTGGAATAGCCAAATTCTTGCGGTAACTAATAAGACTTCAAAAGGTGTTGGTATCATTAGCAAACTACGTTATCTCTTACCTAAAGAAATTCTTATTCTACTATATAATACATTAGTTTTGCCTCATCTTAGTTATGGAAATATTGTTTGGGGAATTACATATCCATCAAATGTTTAAAATTACAAAAGAGAGTAGTTAGATGCTGTACTTTATCTGATTTCCATGCACATTCTAAACCTTTATTTCTCAAACTGAAAGTACTTGATATATCAGCTTAATAAGTATTTATTAGGATTAATGCTCTTTAGATATGTTTACACATCACTGCCTGAAAATCTGCAAGTGCTATTAACTTTTAACAATGAAATACATAGCTATAACACTCGTCATAGAGAGAAATTTCATATATTCAAATGTACAACAAACTTTGTGTCATTTTCTTTTAAACATACTGCACCTCTTGTTTGGAATGCACTCCCTCAGGAAATATGTCAAACTAGAAATTTTAATGGATTTAAAAGGAAACTCAAATCTTATTTATTAACGAGTACATAACCCCTGTATACTATTTTATATGATAAAAAGAATTTCATTTTTTTTTGTTCCTTCTCCACTTATATATATATATATATATATATATTTGTTTCGTTTTGTATTGTTTTGTTATTGTCCAGTAAATTATTTATGTACATAGTTATCTATTGCAAAAATATTTTAATTCAAACCTTTGGCACAGCCTCGACAAGTTCAAATTTATTTGAACTTTTGCAGTGACCCAAATTCCATTTGATTTCTTTACCTTTAAATGTACTGATCAGTGATGTTTGTATAGCTTGTATTTTTTTCTTTTTTTTACACTTGTGTTATCTTTTGTATACATATATGTTTTTTATTAAATGGAATGAATAAGTCTTGAAATCTTGAATGAAATCTTGAAATCTTGAATAACAAATGTGATTATGATAATGATATCATTAATTATAAGAACATTTAATACGTTATTTTGTTTTCATGTCATCTTTAAAGCAACATGAATACACTTATTTTTACATGGACTATTCAATTAAGATCATGATCTAGATCTACTTACCCCGAATTCAGTTGTTTAATCTTGACAAACAGGTCAACCAAGGCTTCTTCGTCTCTGTCCTTCACTCCGGACACATGCAGTCGCTGCTGATTTTTAGTTTGGTCTTGAAATAGAAGACTTAGCCCTCCCATTGTCCGTCCTGATTCAATCTTCCTGTCTGTGGTGAGTGCTGGCCAAACGTGCAGTGCGATATGAACAAAGAACCGTTCATCCCTATCCCTAGTCGGACTCTTAGGTCTGGAGGTGGCGGTGTTCTGGAAAGTGTTGCTCGTCTCTGCAACATCGATAGAGACATCGATATCTCTCACTCCACGTATTGATGAGAGCACACCTTTATAGCTTTGTATCGTCACATTCTCAGCCGATAGCTTTGTGACGAATGGAAGCTCAGGAGGAGATGGAGGGAAACTGAGAGAGGAGTCTGAGATGGTAAGCTGGTTCAGTCGGTAGAATGATCTGAGGCTAGACCACAACTTTTCGGTCATCTTAGTAGATATATGGCAGTGCTCTATCTCAAGCCTTGTATTCTGAAATGAAACGCACACCGACGAACCTGTCATTTTTATATACATTGAATTAATTATTGGAATTATACGTGTAAAGATATATAAAATTCCAAATCGGTGAAGCTGAAAAACAAGGCTTAAATGCATTACTTAAAATCATATTGATTGAGTTATTTTATAAAAATCGATGCAATTTTGTTGCAATTTTCCTTAATATATCAATTCAGAGGATATTCCTTTATTGAAAATTTCAAAAAGAATGCAAGCACAACAATGTGCATGCACCCGTATAACGAAAGTCTACTCACCTGAACGGCGTTTTCTTTGTTTAAAGAACCACCTCCACTCCTACATAGAATAATTGAAAAGGAATACGGGAAAGAATGTGATTCAAGCAAATCTTGGGAAATGATATTACATTAATAAAGATAGCAAGTGAAATGTACATCCCCTCTTCACAGAGGTAAACGAAAACAACAATACCCACAATGAACAATAATGGTAATAGTCATCAATATTATAGTACTGGTAATAACATAACATTATAATCGGGATAATGATATCGGTGGTATAAAAGGAACATCCATATAATAACATTTTAATACATTATTTTGTGTTCATGTCGTCTTGAATAGCGAACTAAACACAAAGATCTGTACACGAATTAAGATCAAATCTATCATCTAGATCTACTTACCCCGAATTCAAGTACGTTAGTTGCTTAGTGTTGACAAACAGGTCAACCAAGGCTTCTTCGTCTCTACCCTTCACTCCGGACACATTCAGCCGCTGTTGGCTTTTGGTTTGGTCTTCAAATAGAAGACTAATCCCTCCAAATATCTCTCCTAATTCAATATTCCTGTCTGTGGTGTCTGCTGACATAGCGTGTAGTCTGATATGAACAAAGAAATGTTCATCCCTAGCCCTATTCTGACTCATAGGTCTGGATGCGGCGGTGACATGGAAAGTGTTGCTCGTCCCTGTATCATCGATAGAGACATCGACATCTTTCACTCCAGGTATTGATGAGAGCACACCTTTATAGCTTTGTGACGTCACTTTCTCGGCCAATAGCTTTGTGACGAATGGAAGCTCAGGAGGAGATGGAGGGAAACTGAGGGAGGAGTTTGAGATGATGAGCTGGTTTAGTGGGGTGAATGATCTGAGGCTGGACCATAACTTTCCGGTCATCTCAGTAGATAGATGGCAGTGCTCTATTTCAAGCCTAGCATTCTGAAATGAAACGCAAACAGACGAACTTGTCACTTTTATAAACATGGATTTCAATTATGAAACTAAAAGTGTGGAGATATATAGAATTCCACGTCAGTGAAGCTGAAAATACAAGGCTTAAAAGCACCACTTAAATTCAAATTCCGAGAATTGATTAAATTCTCTTAAAAAAAACACCCGATGCAACATTGTTGCAATATCCTTTAATAGTTCAATTCAGAGGATATCCCTTCGTTGAATATTTCAGAGCGGAATGCATGCACCCGTTTAACAAACGTCTACTTACCTGGACGACGTTATTGTTGTATGACGAACCACCTCCACTCCTATACAAAATAGTTGAAAAGAAATGAGGGAAAGAATGTGATTCAAGCACATCTTGGGAAACGATATTACATTAAAACAGAAAGCAAGTAAATTGCACTGCCCCTCTTTACAGCGGCAAATAAAAACAACAGTGCTAACAATAGCATTGTTAAATATAATGATAATAATAATCATAATGATGGTAATGATAATAAAAAATATAATCATGATAATGATATCAATAATAAACATCCATATAATAACATTTTAGTACATTATTTTGTGTTCATGTCGTCTTAAAAAGTGACATGAACACAACCAGCTCTACATGAATTGAAATCTAAATCTATCATCTAGATCTACGTACCCCGAATTCAAGTACGTTAGTTGTTTAGTCTTGACAAACAGGTCAACCAAGGCTTCTTCGTCTCTGCCCTTCACTCCGGACACATGCAGTCGCTGCTGGTTTTTAGTTTGGTCTTGAAATAGAAGACTTAGCCTTCCAATGGTCTCTCCTGATTCAATCTTCCTGTCTGTGGTGAGTGCTGGCCAAGCATGTAGTCTGATATGAACAAAGAACTGTTCATCCCTAGCCCTAGTCTGACTCATAGGTCTGGACGCGGCGTTGTTCTGAAAAGTGTTGCTCGTCTCTGGAACATCGATAGAGACATCGATATCTCTCACTCCAGGTATTGATAAGAGCACACCCTCATAGCTTTGTGACGTCACTTTCTCGGCCGCTAGCTTCGTGACGGATGGAAGCTCAGGAGGAGATGGAGGGAAACTGAGAGAGGAGTCTGAGATGGTGAGAGTATGTAGCATCGAAAATGCTTCGAGGCAGGACCATAGTCCACTCGTCACGTCGGTAGTTAAAGAAGACCCCTCGAACTTTACTGACCTAACCTAGTGTTTTGATAGAGAGAGGGAGAGAGAAAAAGAGAGTTAGAGAGGCGGAAAGAGAGAGAGAGAGAGAGAGAGAAAGAGAAAGAGAGATTTTACCCCCCCCCCAAAAAAAACATTAATTCGTTGGTGAAGATTAATGTCTTGTTTTTGTGTGGTGACCATTAAAGCAATCGGGACTGTGACCCGATCTTATCAGAGAATAGTAAGTTGAAGAAATGGATTTTTTTTCTCTACTACTTTACATTCATCAGTAATGTTTGTTATACAATTTTTTTCTTCTAAGCTATAAGTTATCAAAAAAAAAGTAAATTAAAACAAAAAAATACAAATAATTTACTTCTTTTACTTTTAGTTATGGCAAGGTAATACAATTAACACAACCTATCTGAAATGATTAGTGTTTACACAATTTTTGAAATGAAAATACGCATACCTCCCGTTTTAGTTGCTTTGGAAGATTTTGCATCCCAACAACGGTGTAGATAGTCGGTGCCTTTAGAACAATACTCTGTGCATTCACACATCTTTGAACCAACGAAGACACATTTCCTTCAGTACCCTTGGTCTCTGATGAGCAGTCAAGGATAATGCGGTATCGCTCGCTCTCATTCAAACAACTGTTTGCAAGGAGCGACTCCATTATTCGTATACAGAGGCTGTTATCAGAGCCAGACGTGAATCGGATGAGATTCTCGTAGTCACCGATGTTTGCTTTTATTTGGTGCAGCAGTCTGTCCAACCTAGAAATCTTCAAACGCAACAGAAAGTGGTATGTTTGATCAGCGAGGAATTTCCCGGCCGAGTGTTCTTGTGCGAGTTTGTGATAAAATTCAATTGTAGTGGAAGTGGTTTCGTTGGACTGAGGAAGGCATTTGATGTAAACAGTCGCTTTGGATACTATCCCAAGCTCACATGCCCTGTCAAGGACTGCGGGAACTTTACGGAAATCATGAGGCGTGAAGACTAGTTTTTTAGCATCGTCGAGTAGACCAGTAAGGGCAATTTCGCCTAATTGAGAAATTATTTTCTTTAACTTCTTGGGTGTGATTTTAACTATAGGCTTTGATCGGGCGTTTGCATGGTGCATTAAAAAAACATTCACGCTGTCCAATAACTCTGTTTGATTTGTAGTATCACTGTCCAGTTGGGCCTCGCTCCATAAGTGACAGATCATGAGACAAAATAAAGGTGTTTTAACAAGTTCATCAATAAGTGGTTGGTTATCAAGGTAAACCTTCAGACCATGACCAGGTTTGCTAGAAGGATTTGAAGTCGGAGCAAAGAACTTGTCGATATACTCTCGTGAGCTCGCTCGCGAGAATCCTTCGATCCACATCTTTGTGTACACCTTTGAAAGTTCCTGTTGATTGAAGAAGTTCTCTAAGTGAGGGCGTGTTGTTACAAGTACTCGACACTGTGGAAACTCCTTCCAGCGAATGACACTGACAATATTGCTAATTGAAGAAGAAATACCGGCATACTCATCTAGCCCGTCTAGTATGATGTGGCAGATTCCCTGATTCTTTCTGATAAAACTCTCCAAACCCTCGGCTGTGAGATCATCAACATCACTCAAAAGCTGGGATTTAATGGCCTCTCCAATCGATGTAAGCTTACTTGTGTTTCGGAATTTAACAACAAACAGAAGCGGAAGGTGTTCTAATGCTGACCCCTTTTCCCTGTGAACCCAGTCGTAGGCCATCTTAGCAACAGCCGTGGTCTTCCCTCTTCCGGCTGGGGCCGAAATGAGAATTCGAGCTGGCAGTCTGCCATTTACTTTCGTTGAGAATATTTCAGCGACAGAACCCTGGAGTATTTTCCTTGTTTTAGTGTCTTTTCCATGAGCGTCCTTCTTTACCATTGTGACAACCGTGTGCATGTCTTCAAACTCAGCATAATCAGTGTGATCCCACGGCTTCATTTGAATTTTGCACAATTGATTTAGGTACCTATTCTCCAACTTTTCGCGACATTGCTGAACAGTCAAGGATTCCGAGATCTTCTCACGGTAGATATCTGGAATCATACAAACATTTAAGACAAACTGTCGTATTGCGCATTCACATGGTCTCCGAACAAATATGGTTTGGTTAGAAATTTGTTTTTAATAAATATTCAATTACTTCAAGTTTCATTCTTCCGACATTTTGCCCTTTTACCCCATAAAGAAAAGGCCTGGAAACACTTTTAACCCTAATAGGGCCGGGCTATTTGAAGTCTTAGTAGGGCCGGGGGGGGGGGGGCATTATGGCCCCCCTTAACGATCGCCGCGAAAATTTGCACGCATGTCAAGTGAAGTGTAAAGAATAATATGATAATTTCAATTTTTTGAAAAATTCACTCATTTGCATATTTATGGTAATTTATGCAAATAAAGTCATAAAAATCACATTTTTACCCATAAATCATATATTATTCATATTTAAGCATTCTTTTTCACTAGATATATTCATTAGACCATTCTGAATAATAATACGACAACAAATTTGGAAGAGCCAGCTTATTTCTTATGTTATCCCTTGTTTTGATAATTTCTTATGTATTTTACTGTTTTTTTAACTTATGTATTTCATTGTTTTTGTTGTTTTATTTCATCTTTTACTACAATTCAACTATTTTGACTCCCAAAACAACCAAATAAAACTTTAATCAAGACCCAATAACCAATGTTTGATCTGTTTTTAGGAAAAATGACTTTGCCTTACGTTTTGTACACAAATCACGAAAATGAGCGATTTTCAGGCTGACATGCAAGGACAAAAGGTCACGTGACCTTGTAACCGTAGGTCCGATTTTCAAAAAAAATATTTTAAAAGTTGCGCAAGGCTTGAAAGAAAAAAGTCAGCGAGCGGCGGGGCGCCATCCATATGCGTTCCCGAGCAATCAGAAAAACTGTGGAGGGGGGGGGGGGGGGCCATAATCCCCCGGCCTTATTAGGGTTAAGAGAAAAATATAGCGAACACAATTACCACAAACACAGAAAAAACTAGAAATGCAATCGTGTCACAACGATATGCGTGCAATGACGCCAAGCGAAGGAGCTTCTCTCGGAATATCCAGAGCAATGTAGAGGTCTGTTGCTTCTGTGATAGTGAAGATAAGTAGGGCGAAAGAAAGGTCACCCAAACGGCCCGAAACGAACGAAATGGCGCCTAGACGCTCCTGCATGCGGGTTTCCGGAAAACAAAAAATTTAGTGACCTTGTAGGAATGCTAGAGACTACGCCTACGAATTATGAAGAGAATTGGATTAGAGGAAGAGACCTAGAAGGGGTTCGCAAGCACTGCGTGCAAAAAACAATGAGATTTGGTGCATGGTGAACATGTGGTGACGCGTGCTTTAGCACAAACGGCCGCCCATACTAACACAATCATGCAGAGTATAAAATGGCGTCTAACATGGCTCCCTTGACGAATTTTAAAAATCCGGCTTCGAGAGGCCCTGCGTTTGGCCAGCCAGAATACGCTTACAAAATTGCAAGGGAAGAAAAGGACGATAGGGGGGGGGGGGGGGGTGGGGTGTGAAAACAGTCTGAAAAAATGACGTCATAGCAGATACGTGTTATAACTTGGCGGAAACTCAGCAGAATTCGTATAGTGACCCGTGTTCAAACGCAAATTACTCAAATATTTCTGTGATAATATATAACGTGTTTTGTATCATTCGAAAGGGCACCTCATTGCAATCAGCTTAACACCATTGTCATCTCCGCGCAATGTACTGCACGCATTAAACGCGCTGTTACGTAATGCATAGTAAATTCATCATTTTTGGCGATGACTTTGCGCTGGCGTAATTAAAATTTACTACACTTGGCAGACAGTTATCACGTATATGGATACACGTGTATGTACAGTTTCATTGACGTAGGTATAAGGATCGTAATTTGAGAGCAAGTTCTAGTTATTTATCAATTTTCTTGAAAACTGCATATTTGGAGGGCATTTTTCGCAAAGTCGGTCAGAGTAAGGGTATATAATTTTGCATTTGAATGGAAAGGGCATATGTTCAAGTATCTAAATCCAAAAAGGGTACGAATTTTTAAAGCCATAATAGAGATACGGCCACAGAAAGAAAGCCAATTCCCAGAACTTTAGAGGGCGCTATTTATATTTTGCATAGCCACTGGGGCGTGACATTTGGCATGGCTATGTTCAATTATGAGATAAAGATACTGTGAGATTTGAATACAAAACGGAATTTATGTGAGAAAGTTATGGTAGTTTTTTTTTTTGAGGGGTCAATTTTTCAAGAATCTGAAGGATTTTTGACGTCCTTTTCAGATGTGGATTTGGAGTACGAAGATGGCATTTGAAGGTCAGGTTAAATAAGTGTCGCAGATGAAAGAGCATCTCTTAGACTATCTAAAGGAATTTGTTAGAAGTTTGTAGGATCTAGGATAGTGGAGAGAGGGAGGAAGAAAGAAAGGCCTTAAAAAGGGCCAGAAACGGACAAAATGGCGCCTGGACGGTTATGCATGAGTGATTTCGAAAATCAAAGAATGTAGTGACCTGGATGAGATGCTAGAGATGATGCCTATGAAATTTGAAAGGAAAAGGACTTGAGAAAAGTACCTAACTAGGAATAACAAGCACTGTGTGCAAAACGAATGCGATTTCCGGACGATAAGGATAAGGATAGTTATATTAATGGGGCAGAATGTGAACGAAAACAAGGCAATGACGAAGATCGTCATTGCAATAATACATGAAGATACAAAAAAAAAAAAAAACATGTGGGAGGGGGGGGGGGATTGCAAAGGCCAGGGGCCTGTCGATATTATTTTCGATATTTTGGATATGGTATGCCTACGCCACAATCCACTGACCAAAGGAACTACTAATCACCGATTCGGTAGTGGCGGGCAACTCGAACATCAATTCTTCCAACACACGAAATTACAAAAATGTCAAATTGTCAAAGTGTGTTACTCAGTAAGATGTTCCCTTTTTAAAGCATATCGTATCATGCTGTGTATATGCAAATATATTTTGGGTAGAACACGGGGGCGGCAATTTCTTTTCATGACCAGGGGGGGGGGGGCGAAATGCTAGGGACAAGGGAGCATAGTGAACGATAGGGCCGAAGGTGACGGAAGTGACTACCCCCTCACAACGGAATACAGATTTTCTACAATATCTACTTGCAAATTTTGAAGGATATTATGCGAGGGAGCGTAGCGAGGAAGCGAAAAGATTTTTGAAAGGTTTATCAGGCTAAACAGTGCACTCTTCGGCCCTCCAGAGCCTAAAAGTGTGTTGCAATCTTAAAGGGGAAGTCCACCCTGAAATTAAGTTAGTTTTAATAGGAGTAGAAAAATGAGAGAAACAAGTCAGTGAAAGTTTGAGCAAATTCCGATTAAAAATAAGGAAGTTAGGATTTTTGAAGTTGTGATCAATCAAACACAAATTGGCAACTCTATGACGTATCATGCGAGCTCAACTTCCATTTGCTCAGTACTAAAAAAATCTAAAATTTTCATTTTCCCTCAATTTTTTTCCAACCATACATGCACCCTAAATATAATAATTGCAAATATGTTTCTATACTCCCCCTTCAAGGAACAAATATATATTCCGTCATCAATAACGAAGAAAACATGATTTTATGGAATATTATGCACAAAGCAAATGAAGGAGAGCTCGTATAATAAGTCACAGAGTTGCCAATTTGTATTTGATTGATCACAACTTCAATAATTCATAACTTTCTTATTTTCATTCAGAATTTTCTCAAACTTTCACTCACCTGATTTTCTTTTATTCTGCCTCTATCGAAACAAACTTATTTTGGGGGTGGACTTTCCCTTTAAGTCAGTATTTGCACTTATTTTATTTTTTTAACTTTTTTGCACTTTTCAAATTTTCCAGGGGGGGGGGGAGGGGGGAGGGGGGGGGGGGTGAGACGATCCCCCTAACAACATTGAGGGTTGGGGCGTGTCCCCCTGTCCCACGGGATCGCCGCCCTGTACCCATGGGTGGAGGTGCATATGAGAACAATGATTAATGATTTGTTTCGTTCATGACACACGGGAGAGGAGAGTTGTAAAGCGTATAGAGTGATTTCCAATTTATTATTCTCCTCATAAATATTCTTTATTATTATTATTATGACTACGTCGCAATCAACTGACTAAATCGGAAATTTAATTTAGCAAAGATATAGTGATGATATCATTCAAACATTCATAACTTTCATATAAATGGTCCGATATTTGAAACTTTCGCTATTCTGTTTCTCTCAATATAATTATTTTCCGCTTTTACACAAATTAACTCATTACAAAGGTTGGATTGCCTCAGTTGAAATTTTGTTTCTTTCCAAATCGATATGGAAATTTGAGCAAGTTAATTGTCTTTGAGCTTGATTTTCCTAACTTATTAATCAAGAACATGAAATCCTATTCCCTTTTAACCTCACTACGTAGATTATAATTTTTCACAAAATTTAGGTAACAAGTATTAAGAGTGCCTTCCTCCTCAAATGTTTACGTTTTGGGATTCACGCAATTGTAAAAAAACAGTCCTCCATAGAAAGATAAACCGATGAGCTAAAATTATTAAACTTTTACCCAAGTATAAAAGTACGACAGACACAGCTTTTCCAAGAGTTAAATTATGATCTGAATAACCCATCCAAAATCATCAATAAATCCTACTGGATTTGTTCATATCCATATGCTTTTATACAGGAGCCACCCGGTTCCAGTAGGCAATTCGATAAATTCTACCCGCCTCAACCTGCGGCAAAAACACTCTGTTGAATAGAGACAGACAGAGAGACAGACGATACCACCCTTTACTATACTCATATTCAGTGCCATATGTATGGTGGCCCTGAAGGGACATCGCGAATAGACTAAATCGTGAAAAATATGCGATAAAATTCACGATATCGTCAATTTTATCGCATATTTTTCACGAAGAAATTCACGAAATTGACGATATCGTGAACTTTATCGTGAACTTTTCACGATGAAATTGACGATATCGTGAATTTTATCGTGAAAAGTTCACGATATAAAGTTCACGATATCGTCAATTTTATCGTGTACTCTATCGTGTACTCTATCGTGTACTCTCCTGACGGGCGCTTCGTAAACAAAACCAGCCCTAGCTGGGGGAGACAGAGAGAAGGAAAAAAGGGAAAGGGAAAGAGAAGATAAAAGGAAAGAAAGAATAATAAGAAGAAAAGAGGGAAACGGGGGGGGGGGGCGAAGGGCTTTTGCCTCCTCCTCACTCCCCCCCCCCTCCCCGCCAAAAAATAAATCAGAGAGAGAGAGAGAAGGGAAAGGGAAAGGGAAAGAGAAGATAAAAGGAAAGAAAGAAGAGGAAGAAGAAGAAAAGAGGAAAACGGGGGAAGGGCGAAGGACTCTTGCCCCCCCTCCCCCCCCGCCAAAAAAATAAATCAGAGAGAGAGAGAGAAGGGAAAGGGAAAGGGAAAGAGAAGATAAAAGGAAAGAAAGAAGAGGAAGAAGAAGAAAAGAGGGAAACGGGGGCAAAGGGCTTTTGCCTCGTCCCCCCGCCCCCCGCCAAAAAATAAATAAGAGAGAGAGAGAGAAGGAAAGGGAAGAAGAAGAAAGAAAGAGAAAAACGAAAAAGAGGGAGAATAGGAAAGAAAGGAAAAGAAAGAAAAGAAAGGAGGCAAGAGCCCTTCGCCCCTGTTTCCCTCTTTTCTTATTCTTTTTCCTCTTCTTTCTTTCCTTTTATATTTTCTTTCCCTCTCCCTTCTCTTTCCCTTTATGGCGGGAGGGGGGAGGGGGAGGTAAGAGCCTTTCGCCCTTCCCCCGTTTCCCTCTTTCCGTCTTTTTCTTCTTTCTTTCCTTTTATATTTTCTTTCCCTTTCCCTTTCAATTCTCTCTATCTCTCTCTCTCTCTCTCCTATTTGTTGGCGCGGGAGGGGGGGGGGAGGAGGCAAGAGCCCCTCTTTTCTTCTTCTTCTTCTTCCTTTCCTTTTTTATTCTCCTTCCCTTTCCCTTCTCTCTCTCTCTCTCTCTCTTATTTATTTTTTGGGCGGGGGGATGCAAGAGCCCTTCGCCCCCGTTTCCCTCTTTTCTTCTTCTTCTTCCTCTTCTTTCTTTCCTTTTATCTTCTCTTTCCCTTTCCCTTTCCCTTCTCTCTCTATCTCTTATTTTTTTTTTTGGTGGGGGTGGGGAGGGAGGAGGCAAGAGCCCTTCGCCCTTCCCCCGTTTCCCTCTTTCCTTCTTATTCCTCTTCTTTCTTTCCTTTTATATTTTCTTTCCCTTTCCCTTCTCTCTCTTATTTATTTTTGGCGGGGGGGGGGGGGGGGGAGGAGGCAAGAGCCCTTCGCCCTTCCCCTGTTTCCCTCTTATTCCTCTTCTTTCTTTCCCTTTCCCTTCTCTCTCTCTCTCTCTCTCTTATTTATTTTTTTGGCGGGGGGGGGGGGGGAGGTAAGAGCCTTTCGCCCTTCCCCCGTTTCCCTCTTTCCTTCTTCCTCTTCTTTCTTTCCTTTTATATTTTCTTTCCCTTTCCCTTTCCCTTCTCTCTCTTCTTATTTATTTTTTGGCCGGGGGGGGGGGGGGGGAGTGAGGAGGAGGCAAGAGCCCTTCGCCCCCCCCGTTTCCCTCTTTTCTTCTTATTATTCTTTCTTTCCTTTTATCTTCTCTTTCCCTTTCCCTTTTTTCCTTCTCTCTGTCTCCCCCAGCTAGGGCTGGTTTTGTTTACGAAGCGCCCGTCAGGAGAGTACACGATAGAGTACACGATAGAGTACACGATAAAATTGACGATATCGTGAACTTTATATCGTGAACTTTTCACGACAAAATTCACGATATCGTCAATTTCATCGTGAAAAGTTCACGATAAAGTTCACGATTTCGTCAATTTCGTGAATTTCTTCGTGAAAAATATGCGATAAAATTGACGATATCGTGAATTTTATCGCATATTTTTCACGATTTAGTCTATTCGCGATGTCCCTTCAGGGCCACCATACATATGACCCTTGCTACGCCAGTGGTAAGTGGACATGTCCTAATTTTATGCACTCAACATAATTTACAGATGTCACAGCTGTAAGCACTCTAGCACTGATAGACCCACCTCTAAAACATGATGTCTCCTTGATATATGTATCAGCAAACATGACCAGCTTAGCGTCAATGAGAGCTTTTTTCAGTCTGATATGCTGGTTGCAAGGCTCCACGGTCTGTCGCCAGTCAAACAACATGGCACGTGTTCCCTTACACGTCACTCGTCCTTCCATTCTATTGGTCTCTATGTATCTATTGATTTCTGCGACCTTGAATCCGAGTTTTCGTCCTAAGTCTTCCATCTGGTCACTCGTCTCGATGTCTTCAGCCAGCTTGGACAGAAGATCATCGGACACACCTCCTTGCATCGCCATTACTATAGACACAATGCAAAGGAAAGGAAATTACATTCAGTCACTTCATAAGATGATATGCTACTTTCAATCTAGCATATCTGGAGTCAGTACATAAAACTATGTTTGTGTATCGTATGGACCGGTTTACTAATACTTGGAATCCAGTGTGCACACATTACTTGTTGCTTTGTCCAGCTAGCCTTGCACAAGCTTTCCGGTTGTCAAGAACAATCCTGCTTTGTAAAGTATGCATACAATATGAATATGTTGGTAAAACGGTCTATTTTTTGCCACTAATTATAACAACTAGATCGGCATTTCTATTTTTAGTGGGTTCAAAAGACCGACATACTTGTTTTGTTCATTGTGTATCTTTTTGTATTTTCGGTCTCTATTTGCTTATTGTGTCTCCAAACACCTGGGCTCCGCGTCCCCTGGGGGTAAACTCAGGGGCGTCACGAGACAGGGGGGGGGGGGGGTTGAGGGTGTTACACCCCAATTCCAAGTTTCTGTATGCAGATATGGCACCTCTCTGGGCAAAAAAGGGAAATAGAAAAGGAGGAAAGAGGGAGGAGAAAAGGGAAAAGGAGAAGGGAGACACAGGAAAGAGAAAGGAAAAGAAAAAGGAAAGAAAAAGGGGAGGACAGAAAATGAAGAAAAAGGGAAAAAAAACTTTCACGCCAATTAAAAAGAAGAAAACAGTGAAAGGAAAAGTGAAGAAGAAAAACAAAAATATAAAACTAAAGAAGAAAGAGATTGAAAGTGAAACGAGAGAAGGGAGTTAAAATAAAAAAATATTGGGGGTTTCGGGAGAGAAATTAGTTAAAGATCCATGTTAGATCAATTTCTAAATACACGTCAATTTGGTGAAACAAAATATTAGAAACCAGCAAGGTGTCAGAACATATCTTTATATTTTTACAACGCTTGGTTGTTTCACTCGCTTAGTTTCAATTTTTAGTTGAGTTTATTTCATATTCACATTCATCACGAATATCATGCACAATAAAACTTGAGAATTCGAAATCATTATTTCAAAAGGTATAAAATACCTACAATAATATCAATGATGGCCAGTGATGGCCTGGTGGAAGAGTCGCTGCCCGGCAAGCAATAGATGCAGGTTCAAGTCTCGCTGGTTCCAAGATTTTTTCTGACTTTTTTCAATACAGATCGATCAATCGATCTTAATTACTGTGTGTAAGCCACAAATATGTTTAAATAATGGAAATTTTTCCCAGAAAGCATTACATTTATAGAATTAACATCACGCCATGCAAGTATTATAATTTAGTCGAAATAACGTACGGAGATAAATAAATACGATTGCATGGAACCTAAACTAAAATTAGACAACTATAATTTGCAGTAATAAATTAGAAAATGTAGTGAAATGTAGGCTAGAGCAATCTATTGTGCATGTAAATTATATTTAATAAGTACAAACGAACAAAAAAAAAGCTCGGAAGCTTGATAATTAGGGGCCACGAGATGACCTAATATATGATTTTTGTATTCATGTATTAGGAAGCGACATATTTATCCTAGTGTGTTTTGATTACATAATACTATTTGTACTTTACTAACATGTCATCCTTCATAAACAAAGGTGTCTATACATGTGGCACTTGTAGTACCATATGATGCCAAGCGAATCTTCTGTAATGACCTTGGCTTTAGAGTCACGCAAACAATTTTTAACTTCTTAAAAGGTCCCTTTGACTAAAAGTGTTAAAAACACTAAAATGGAGCACCATAATTCGGCTCTGCTTTTCTACAACTAAAAGAGAAAACTTTTCTCTCGGTCGGGACGCTTTCTGCATGATATACGTCATATGATACTAATTATAATATTAATAATAACGATTATAATAATAATAATAATATGATGGTAACAGTAATGACGATAATAATAATATGATGGTAACAGTAATGACGATAATAATAATGATGATACTTTCGTTTAACCACGGAGGCCTCATCAATATCCCTACTTTACTTCGCATAGTAAATCTTGATCTATCACGTTATGACGAAAATGGCGATGCCCATAGCGTGCTGGGGAACTGTACATTATGCAACAAATATCTTGCTTTTAACACCACCCATATCGTATCCGGACACCTACCCCCTGTACATCCACCCCGGATGACCACCCCCAGTATACTATACCCCCTACGACAACTACCCCTAGGGCAACTACCCATAGGACAACCACCCTCTAGGACGACTACCCCCCGGGACAGCTGCACATTGTTTGTGTAGCCTGCAACCAGGTCCCGTAACACAAAGGTTTTCCATCAATTGTAAATTCGAAATAAATATTCTGATTGAACAACAGTCAGCCTTGTTAACAATATGTACATGCAGCGAGGATTATGTTGTTCTTGTTGTTTTGCAATATCATGCAAAATTTTGTGTTACGCGGCCAAGAACTTATTCGATTTTTCACTCTGTTATTACACAATACCAATTATACTAAAAACACCTAAATAACCACATCTACTAAAATTATCCAACCTTTTACAGTTTGTGTATTCCTCATCTATTTGAGAACATGTATGGGGGCGCAAAAAACATGGCACCAACCCTATCCCATCCCCCTCGAACCCCTCCCCCTGTCGCCGCTCATGACCTGATTTTGACTGGTGAAGTTGATTGTGGACGTGCAAATGTGCACGAACAAAATATTGTTACCAGGGTGTTTTATAAATTACTCGTTCACGATGTTGATATAAGTCGTTAATTTTGCTCCATTTCTTACCAGGCGCTTTCAGGTGTTTATTTAACTCTTGCTTATATGACGGCTTGCAATAAATGAGACAAACCTTTATAGTTGGCAAATGTAGGTGAAATGTGATTCGTTTGAAACTTTATTTAGTGAAGCCCACCCCGTATTTAACGGTCATAGCTGTATTATCATGGGGAGGGGGGGGGGGGGGGGGGGGGGGGGTGGGGGAGTATTTTTTCCTTACTGTTGGTACGTCATTCGAAGAAAACACCCAATCTGTTCCGAAGCGTTGTGAAGTCAGACCTGATGAAGGACCCATTGTATCCCAAACGCACACACAAACTGGCACACCGACTTCCCTTTTTTTCTCTTTTCTCTTTTCCTCTATCCTTCTTCTCGATACATTTATTGTTGGTAAAAACTAAAAAGGCTTCCTTTTTGATTATGATGATATAAACAAAAAGAAGAAGAAAATAATGGATAATATCAAAAACAAATATGTATCGTTTTTATTTGTGTTTTTGGGGTCTAAAAAAATGTGAGAAGTGCTGTGGTAGTCCCGGGGAATTTCAAATTTCATGTGTAAAGGAGTGTCCTAACAAAATACGAAGTATTCATTACATATTTAAAAAAAAATATATATATTGGCAGAAGACAAGTTGGTAAAATCCAAAACGGAACCAAACATTTCAAGAGAAAGATAAAGCTTGATAAGTAAAATATTGGTGTTTAATGCAAGGTTAGATCTTAGTCGCCTTAGCGAACGAGAAACATTTGCATATAATCTGTGCAGAGCAGGTCCCTGACTATAAAGAGTTGATTTATTTTTTCCCGGATATTTTGGGTTCTTCAAATCGAATAATGGTGAACGGTGAAGTTGAATGTGGACGTGCAAATCTGCACGGACAAAATATTAAAACTAGGGTATTTTGTTATATGACTCGTTCACGATGTTGATATTTGTAGTAAATTTTGCTAAATTTATTACCAGCCGATTAAATGTGTTTATTCATCTATTGCTTATTCAACGGCTTGCAATAAACGAGTTGAACCTTGTGTATACCTCATTTAATTGAGAACATGTATGGGAGCACAGAAAACATTGTACCTACCCCTCCTCCTTCCAGGCCGCTCATAACCTGATTGTGATTGGTGAAGTCGATTGTGGACGTGCAAATCTGCACGAACAAAAAAATAGTAGAATATTGTGGTATATTACTCGTTTACGATGTTGATATTAGTCATATATTTTGCTCAATTAATTCCAGGCTCTTAAATGTGTTCATTTAACTACCACGTATCTAACAGCTTGCAATAAATGAGACGAACCTTTAGTTAGCAAATGTAGGTAAAATGTGATTCGTTTGAAATGTATTTAGTGAAGCCCACCCCGCATTATCCGATCATTCTACAACCGATTTGGTTATATTATCATGCGTGGGGGGGGGGGGGTTTTTTAAACCACACTCCCATGATTTTTCTAAAACTTACTGTTGGTACGTCAGTTGAAGAAAAAAAAACACCCAATCTGTTCCGAATCATTGTGAAGTCAGACCTGATGCAGGACCCAATTATATGTATCACATACACACACACACACACGCACACACACACATGCACACTGACCTTCCCCTACTTTTCCCTTTTCCCATTTTCCTCTATCCTTCTTCAATTTTCTCCTCATTCTCTCCAATTAACATCGTATAGAACTTTCCCTTCACTATCTGTCCACCTATACCCAATCCCAATTTTGTTTTGGATTCTCGTTCGTTCGTTATGATTTTTTTTCTTCAATGACCCTATTGTAATATTTTTTCTATCAAAATCATATATTTAACACGCATGTTCGCTTCACTCACTTATTTTGAGTGTTTTAGTATAGACTATTTCTATGTAAACATTCATTTACATTACAGAAAGTATCTAATTAAATTCAATTTGATCATCAAATACGCCTGAAAGTCACATGTCCTTTCACCAAATATGGGTATATGGAATACACACACTTTAGGCATAAAAGTTTGTCTGAACTTGAACCGTCATATTTTACAAAATTATGAGGTCATCTGAAAATCTTATTTTTAGGGTCATATACCTCTCTACAAATATTGAAAGTCAGCCTCATGACACGGAGATTAACATGAATTGTAAACAGTCAGTAGCTATCCCATATCTTCTTGGCTTATTGCACTAATAAAATCATCTCGTATAATACGTTTAAGAAAATCAATTTCAAATCGCATGTGATCAAACCGTTTATGTCAACATCAAGACAATATGCAAACAA